GTTGTTGTGATACGAATAACTTGTTAGTACATTAACTCTTTTCATTTTAACAGGTGCAGTTTCATGAAACGGAGTCTGCCAGCAGTCTCCGAAAGCAAAGGGCTTCAGTGGCAAAAATGTCGGAACGGGAAGAAATGGTTAAGAAATGCCTTGTGGAGCTTACGGATATGTGCAAAACTCTTGGGAAAATCTTTGATGTCCATTACTTCAATATTTTTAACACTTCTACTCTCAAGAGAATAGCAGGTAAGTTTTACTTTTCGTTCTTTGGAACTTCCATGTGGAAAAGACAATTATATTATAGTCTTTTCCAGTAGAAATTAGAGAAACTTCATTTGTGTCCTGAGCTAGCCGGGCTGTTTCTGTAAATCATGGATTAATCTTGACCTTTGTGGGAATCACTGGTACAGCAAAACTCTTGATCTTGTGTTATATGAATCCTTCTAGTTCAGAACAGGACTCCTCTCTGGATTGGCCCTCACACTTACAGAATCATAAATTCATAGAGCACGAGGTCTGGGAGGGACCTCAGGAGGTCCCATGTAGTCCAGCTTCCTGCTCAAAGCAGGACCAGCCCCAGCTACATCATCCCAGCCAGCCCTTTGTTGAGCTGGGCCTTAAAAACCTCCAAGGATGGAGACTCCACCACCTCTCTGGATAACCTGTTCCAGTGCTTCACCACCCTGCTAGCGAGAGTTTTTCCTAATATCCAACCTCAACTTCCCTTGCTGCAGCTTGAGCCCATTGCTCCTTGTCCTGTATCTGCCCCCACTGAGAACAGCCCAGCTCCATCTTCTCTGCAACCCCCGGCAGGGAGGTGAAGGCTGCTATTCAATCCCCCTCGGTCTTCTCTTCTGCAGACTCAGTCAGCCCAGTTCCCTCAGCCTCTGCTCACAAGTCATGTCCCTCAGCCCCTGACTTGGGACCAATAGTATGAGGACAGTCTAAATACCAGCCTTCTAGTGCTTGTTTTATACTAGTCATCTTGGGGTGCTCATCTGCTGGGAGGCATGCCCGTATCTACTTGGGGACCTAACATATGCTATGATACCTGTGTGGATGAATTTCCTGTACTACTTGCTCTGTGACGATGTTCTGTCCTGATTTCTCTCCAAATCTCTTCCTAAAATCATGCCCACCAGAGCATATTTCTTGTCTTTTTGCACATTAACCTTTGAAAACTCTTCAAAAGGGACTTCAGAGACTTTTTCTTTGAGTTCAGTGTGTAGCTGGTTTAGGATGTGGATGCTGGCTCCTAGTTCTGATATCCATCTTCTGATACAGTTTCCAAAAATATGTTTGCGAGAACTGGTTGTCTAATTTATTCCAGTCTCTGTCTAATTTAAATCTTAAAGGTACAGTTGTTCCTTAATTAAAAAAAAAATGCATGCACAAAATCTTTGTCTAATCCAGTTTCTTTACATTTGCATCCAGAAACTTTGTCTTCTGATACGGAGGTTTTGCTTCAGATTGATGGTGTTACAGAGGACAAACTGGAGAAGTATGGTGCTGAAATAATTAAAGTCATGCAGAAGTACTCTGAATGGACACTGCCAGGTTTAGTATCCTTTGTATCTAAATGTGTGGGGGCTTGTTTTTTTAATGATTAAAATCTTCCACATATGGACTTACATAAACAGACAACCATGTTTAAGTCATACAGATTTATGGCCTACTCAGATGTAAGATGGAATGGAAAGCTCCATGGATTTACAGAGCACGTAGAGGTCCTTAACCAGTCTAGGCTAGGAAGTTGAAAATTCATTCTAACTTTTAAAAAACTGGGCTTCAGATTGGCACTTTGAGTAAGGAAAACTGAATGCTACTTTTCTGGGAATAAAGAGGAGGCTAAGGGTTTGGTGCTTTGCACTGCATTTTTCTATTCACATCAGCTGTCTATGGGGTAGAATTGCAGTATGTACAAATACTGCAACAACCGACAGATAACAGCTACCTTGTGCACTCCACGGTATCTAACATCTAGTCCAGTTCTCCACTGGTTTATACTGTACTTGCACACACACAACTTCCAAAAATGTAGATGCAAAATGCTGCTGAATCAAAATGGTAACGTTTCACTCTGAGCTCACCCAGATATGATTAACCACGCAAAATGCACGACAGATTCTAGCACCATGCCACTAGTACATCAAGTAATTTCTTCTGAGCCTCGTGCTGTAGCCCACCTCAGAATGACAAAATCTAAATCTTGCAGAGATCAGCTACTGAATGCTGCACAGGCTTGCAGTTGTAAGTGTATTTTTAGTTCCACTAGAGGAAGCTGTGGGTCCTCAACTAGCAGAAGCAGTGAAGTAATTGCTGCAGCTGCTGTGAGTGCATGCCTGGCAGAGGGTGGGGATGAGGAAGTTCCCGTGGAATAAAAGGCTGACTGCGTGATATATTATTTTGGTATTTACGATGCCGCATTGTGTGGCATTTATCCCAATTAGTGTTGGTTGGGAGTGGGCTCTTAGTCACGTTGCTGAGGTTTTCAGCTAAGGGTGGTATTAAACATGGATTCTTTAACTTGGGTGGTGGTAAAACTTTGCCACAAGCATGGTGGACTGTGGCTATCCATCCCTGCTTGGCTGATGAGGGAAGGGTCTAGCAGTAGCACAGAGCCAGCAGTGAGGATTGTGTACCGCATTGTTACCAGCACGATGTAGAAAAGGACCTTGTCGGAGAAAAAGGGGTTGGATGTTACTTCTGCACGTTCTGCTGATCTGGAGCTGCACTTAGGGCCCCTTATTCCTGTCGGAGAACAGCCTAAGAAGGGTTCTGAGGCAGGCGCTGAGCATCACTCTCATGAAGGCAGTGCAGAGTTTTCAGCCACTTTGCACAAAATGTCATTGCTTGCTGGTAATATTTTAGCCCAAGGTTATGAGCTTTTTGTGTTAGCCAATATAATTCAGTTGTGTTGTTTTTATACCCGATGTCCATTCGTAGAAGAAGATTATGCAACTGCAGGCAAAGGGCCTGGGAGTGCAGGAATG